CTTCTTGAACCTATACAGCGAGGCATTTCTGATAGAACTGGAAATCATACCAGAATTCTTCATTGGCGGCCAAAATCTTAAAAACATATGATACGCAGACGACACAGTACTGATAGTAGACAGGGAAAAGAAACTCCAAAACCTCCTATAGAAGGTAGCAAAGGAGAGCAAGAAGAAGGGACTAACCACAAACTACAAGAAGACAGAATGCAAGGTCATCAGTAAACGGATGATCCCGAAATGCAATTTGCAGGTCGGGGACACTAAAATCAAACATGTGCGGAAGTTTAAGTATCTGGGAAGGGCTCTGACGGAGGACGGTAGGTGCAACGCTAAAAATCCCAAGATGGATTTGGATCGCCAAGGATGCATTCCAAAATCTGGGCAGAGCATTGCGAGACAGGGGGATTTCTTTGGTGACAAAGAAAGGAGTTCTAAGCTGCTACGTGACATTTGTCCTCCTATACGGCAGCGAATGTTGGACGGTCTCCTCAAGGATCAAGAAGAGATTCGAGGCAGCGGAGATGTGGTTCTACAGAAGGATGCTGATGATATCATGGAGCGAGCGTGTGAGCAACGATGAGGTCTTGGAGAGGATGCAAACAAGCAGGAAGCTTATACTTAACATAAGGAAGAGGCAGATGAAATTTCTGGGACACGTAATGAGAAAGGAAGGTCTGGAGAATCTGATACTCACAGGTCGAATAGAGGAAAAAAGAGACAAGGGAAAGCAACGATGGCAGAACGTCGTCTGGGAAAGATGGCAGAGACCACGAGACTTATTGAGAGCCACAAGGGATAGGAGGAAGTGGAAAACCATGATCGCCTACCTTCTGAAAGGACACGGCACATAAAAAGAACATTGCTTTTAAAATTTTAATCAGTTAGAGCATTTTGCTCCCCTCTAGTCACTGCTCCCCGCCATCTCACAATTATAACTCATGATGACGTTCAATGCAGAATAGTGTAATGGCTTGCATGTTCATTTTGCACAGGGGGTGTTGAGGTAACTCCTCTCAGAGGAGAATTTGATTTTGAAGTTACGTTCTTCTAGACTTTATTGAACGTGGCAGGGCAAACAAGACAGCCGGTAGTTCGGAATTCAGAGTTTTATTCTCCTAGACTGGTTGCCATCCAAGGCTATAGGACTGCCGTCTGTCCTGCTTTAACTGGGAAGAGATGAGATAGATTCATAATTTTCCCAAGCACGTAAATGAATGTACCTAACTCGACTGGAATTCGAACTCGGCTCTCTGCTTCCTCAATCCGAGCCGCTAACCATTACTCCTCCAACAAACTAGGTGTACACAAATATTAAATTAAGATCAAGAAATAACTCATTCTTATATATAGAGATATTAGCTGGATTTAGACGCTGAATCGTCACGCGTCTGGGGTAGTTACGCCTTGACACCGGTATTGTCCAGATACAAGTCAGGGTTTTGGATAGTGAATATCCAAATAGAAGATCTCTATTAAGTGATGAATCCCATTTTATAATAACGATTTGGAGGTGCGATAAAAAGCAACAGAAATGAAAATGAAAGAAATACGGGTCAGTTTGTCAATAACAATTTTTAAAGACCTTCTCGCAGGATTTTGAATAGTGGCTAACGTAACGAAAAGAAGAACTCGGAAAGCAAATTCAAGTTCCACCTTTGACAGTTACATTTATTTTCGTTCTACTCTCTTTAGGAAAGGCGCGAATCAGTATATTCTACTCCCATCTATGGGTTAAATAGCAGGGTAAACTGGAATTTGGATGGTATTCAGTATAGGAGAAAGCCGACTGTGAATTAAAAATCAGGAAATCACTCCACTGTCTTTCTCAAGACGTCATGGCAGTTCACCGTAAAGAAATGGAAGCTGTGCAGAGCCGTGATCGTCTATATCCTTCATAAAGTCGGGACGATCTTAGTGGCATTATCGCCTTGTTTGGAGTGAACTTATTAAAATGTTATCCATATTACCGAATATTCATTAAGATATAAGATCGCGCAAGTTTCTAAGTCCCAGTCACACGGTGTGTTGTTTTCGGCCAACATTCTGGAACTTCAAGAAATCACCGTTTATTTTTAATTGCTTTTTGTTTGTTTTTATTTATTCAAGAAACTTGTCGCGGAAAGTTTTGACGAATTCCCAGGAAGATGTCTGAGAGAGTGTTGAGAAGTTCTCGTCTTGACGAAGAAACGATTTCAAAACAATTTCTGGTGTTCGGTCAGATTTTGGGAAGTGGGTCGAGCGGAGTACTCTTCAGCGTCCCCTTCGTATTTGCTGTCAGTGGGTGAACAACAGAGGAGAAAGAATGAGTCACGGCGGACAGTAAGAGAGACGAAAAAAATGAAGAAAAACCATCACCCTGGCGGCTGTCACTGGTGCTAGCCGATTATTCATTTCGTCTCTGTTCCAGCGGTTTGAGAGGGCTGTCTTGGGAAAAGAACACATGTCGCACACAAAAAGAAAAACGATAAGTCCCAAGAATAGAAGGAAAGAGAAACTTAATGAACATTGTGCTATAAAGTCACGCCATTTTGCTTATATACTGTATTTCTGTTTTAAGGGGTTATTTTTTTTTTCTTTTTTAAATTTGTCATTTTTTTCGATTTGCTGCTTAGCCGCCCGTAGCGTTAACCATATTGTAAACGTTATATGATAACCTGCGTTCTATTTTCGGGATCTTATCTGCGCAGTTTTAAAAAAACCTCATTATTATTATTATTATTATTATTATTATTATTATTATTATTATTATTATTATTATTATTTTCTTTTGTTGTTTGTTTGGTAGTAACAGACATGGCTGCATGTATTTGTGATCATTTTGAAAAGAGGACGACAAGACAGATCGATAGAGAGAAAAAATGGTGAGAGAGGCCCCGGATAAGGAGATGTGACAGGTTAGGACGGAAGTGTGATGCTGAGAGCAGGAGACAAAAAGAAATAAGGAATGGGTGATGATGACTAGATTGTGAAAACTCTTTCGTAAGAGAAATATAATCGGGGAAATAAATAAGAACATCAAAAGGAATTCAAGAAAAAGAAAAAGAAAGGAAAAAAGGAGAAAGAGAAATGAAAAGTCGAAAGAGAAGAGGAAAACAGGAAAATGGAAACAAATCAGAGAAAATAAGGAAGAGAACAGAAAACGACGGAAGAGTGGAAGAAAACAGAAAAATAGAAACAAAACAAAAAGAATGAAGGAAGGAAGGAAGGAAAGAAAGAAAAGCGGGTGCTTCAACGAAAAAAAAAATGAATGAAAAATTTAAATAGAAAATTAAAAGAAAAGAAAGAAAGAAATATGATTTAAATGAAATGTAAAAAGAAACGAAGAATCAAAAAGAAAGAAAAGAAAAGCAGTCGTTAAATTACAAATAAAGGAAGAAAAAAGAAAAGAGGCTGTTCCAAAGGGGGGGGGGAAGAAAGAAGGAAAGCAAAGAGGAAGTTCAACTGAAAAGTTACCATGATGAAGGAATAAAAAAATTAAGATGGTAAATGAAAACAAAGAAGGAAAAACAAACGTTCAGTTAGAACAATAAAGAAAAAAAGAAAAGCCTCTGTTCCAAAAGAAAGAAAGAAAGAAAGAAAGAAAGAAAGAAAAAAGAAGGAACGAAAGAAAGAAAGAAAAAAGAAAGAAAGAAAGAAAAAAGAAAGAAAAAAAGAAGGAAAAAAAGAAAAAGAAAGAAAAGAAAGAAAGAAAGAAAGAAAGAAAGAAAGAAAGAAAAAAGAAAGAAAGAAAGAAAGAAAAAAGAAGGAAAGAAAGAAAGAGGGAAAAAGAAAGAAAGAAAAAAGAAAGAAAAAAGAAAGAAAGAAAGAAAGAAAGAAAAAAGAAAGAAAAAAGAAGGAAAGAAAGAAAGAAAGAAAGAAAAAGAAAAAAGAAGGAACGAAAGAAAGAAAGAAAGAAAGAAAGAAAGAAAAATAGAAAGAAAAAAGAAGGAAAGAAAGAAAGAGGGAAAAAGAAAGAAAGAAAAAAGAAAGAAAAAAGAAGGAACGAAAGAAAGAAAGAAAGAAAAAAAGAAAGAAAGAAAAAGAAAAGTAGACGTTCAGCTGAAAAGAATAACTGAATGAATGAAAAACTTAAATGGCAAAAAGAAAGAAAAATAAGAATTATTTAATTGGAAGATAAAAGGTGAGAAAGAAAGAAAAAAGAAAGAAAGAATGAAAGAAAGAAAAAGAAAGAAGGAAGGGGGGAAGGAAAAGTGAAAGTTCAAATGAAAAGAATAAGTGAATGAATAACAAACGGAAATGGAAAAAGAAAGAAAAAACAAAAAATTATTTAACTGGAAGATGAAAGAAAAAAGAAATGAAAAATGAACAGGTAGAAAAAGAAAAAAGAAAAGCGGTTGTACAAAAGGAAAAAAAAGAGAGAAAGTAAGAAGGAAAGGAAAGTGGACGTTCAAATTAAAAGAATGAATGAAAAACTTAAAAGGAAAAAGAAAGAAAGAAAATTACTTGAATGGAAAGAGACAAAGAAAAACGATAAGCGAGCGTTCAAATAGAAAAAGAAAAAAAAAGAAAGAAAAGTGACTGTTCGAAAGAAAGAAAGAAAGAAAGATGTAATTCCAATGGGAAAAAAAGAAGAAAAAATGTAAAACAAAAGACAAAGTCGGCAACAACAAAAAAGAAAGAGGAAATAAGACGAAAGAGAGACGTCACAAAGAAAGGCAAAACCGAAGGAAAGAATGAAAATAAAAGTGGGAATTAAAACAGAACGAAAGAAAATATGTAGGAGAAAACAATGAAGAAGAAAAGAAAGAAAAAGAAAAGAAAAATGAACGAAAAAAATCAAAGAAGATGCAAAGAGTAAATACAATTAATGATAGCAAAAAAGAAAATTAAAAATTTCTCAAAAAATTAAAAAATGGAAAAAGAATTATGAATGAATATAAAATGCAAAACGAATGATTTTGTTTTTAAGTGAGAACGAACCGACATGCAATTTGTGAACCAATGGACGATGAAAAAAATCTTGTGACAATGTCGCGGTTTGCCCATGTGCAGAACCCATGCAGTATGAAAACGAGGCTGCACACTCTCTTGAAGATGCAATCCGCGCCTGTGACTTAATTTCACCTTCCGGGTCTGTGGTCACTTCAGATCGTAGAAGAAAAGAGAAAAGGGGATTTGTCGTTAAAATGTCAACTGTTTTTATTGCAATGTGAGGCGCTGAAGAAAGTCCTGTTCAAAGCATTAGAAATACGAAGAATTGATTGGATTGTGTCCGTTTCACATTGGTTATATTGATAGTTGGAAGTATTTGAAATAGAATGTGTCTTGGAATGGCTGTTGGAAACACACCGGTGGTCAGTAATTTATAGTGGACTCGTACCATAAAGCGGACTAAACTGATTGATCAACAGATATCAAATGTAAAAACAATGGCAAATGCTTTAACTGAAAATTAAATGAACAGTTGAAATGTATGTTTTTTTCACACATTACATTTTCTTGTTTTATGAAGCGTGTCCTTTCAGAAAATGGGCGATCATGAGTCTACAACATCCTATCCTTTGTAGCTTTAAGTAATATTTGTTCCTTTCTTCTCAGTCCCATATTACCTGATTTTTCCCGCTGCATCACTTGCCTTTTACAATGACTTGTGAGTGTCATATTTTCGAAGTCCTCTTTCTTCATATCTCCCAGAAAGTTCATCCGTCTCGTTTTTTTTTTTTTTTTTTTTTATTGTAGATGTAATTGTTTTTAGTTCTTATTTTCGTTAAAACTTCATTGTGACTCACATATTGTGTCCATGGTATTCTCAGCAACTTTCTTTAGAAGCATATCTCATTTACCTGAAGTAACGCGTCCTGGGTAAGACGATAAACTCCATCCGTGTCCTGGGTAAGACGATAAACTACGTCCAACAGCAAGGCCTCTGATCAGGAATTTTTGAGCTATGGGCAAATAGTTAACCCCCAAATTTGGTGTCAAAACACTATGAAAGTGTAAAAATAGGCTTTAATACAAGAAATACGTTGAAAAAAATATTAACAGCGATACATTATTACCAGGAACACATTTTTGAAGGAAAAAAATATTAGCAGGAATACATTTTTGAAGGAAAAAAATATTAGCAGGAATACATTTTTGAAGGAAAAAAATATTACCAGGAATACATTTTCGAAGAAAAAAATATTACCAAAAACAGATCTTTGAAGAAAAATATTACCAGAAATAGATTTTTGAAGGAAAAAAATATTACCAGCAATACATTTTTTTAAAAAATATTACCAGGAATACATTTTTAAAAAAAAATATTACCAGGAATACATTTTTGAAGAAAAAAAAATATTATCAGCAATACATTTTTTTTTTAAAATATTACCAGTAATAAAAATTTTGTCGGCATTAAATAACCCATTGAGATTGATATGCCGTAAAACAAACCAAACGTGAAGTAACCTCTTCATCTGTGAGGAATTTGGCCAGTATCCACTGCCATATAGGATAATAAATGAATCATAGCAGTTATCACACATGTTTTTAAGCATGTTTACCCCCAAGACAGGCAGTAAAGCCATTAGGACACAACGGGTTACTGGGCATGGCAGAATTAGAAAAAAGAAACATTACTAACGAGAGGCAACAAAGGAAGAGTAATCAGGAGAACAGCAGATAACGATTGACATTGCATTTACGTTTTTGAAGATCAAAGTTAGCTGGAAAGCATGGAACCAGAAGGGAGTTTCACAAGCAAGAAGTACGAGAAAAGAAACTGTTAGTATAGAACTTACGGTTACATCAAGCCAACTCAACTGTAAATTGATGAGGCTTCGTAGCCAGTCTAGTACTGTGCTTAAATTCATAAAGTCTAGAGATCATAGCGAGGAGCGATATTTATTTTGTAATGAAATTACGAAAAGACGTGGCACGAGGTCAAAATGCGAGGTCAAAATGGGAAATGGAGAACAACATGGATGGTCTTCTTATAAAATGGTCTTATAATTAAACTTAGCTAACCACAATCACTGACCCGAACATGTCACAATATTCCTTATACCAAAACATCGCATTCTTACTTCCCATTCTTACTATAATCACCATAATACCACAGAGTCTCTATGAATTCTAGTGGAATTGTACATATGGAGACTAGTTAAGTTTCCATATGTACAATTCTTGTCTGTAGTGGGAGCTCAATAAAACAATAATTTAAAATCTAAACTCCAATGCGAAGAACTGATCCGAAAAATTACCATGAAATATTTACAAAAAAGGCATAGGGAAACATTTCACGGCGCTGGGAGGGTGGCTGAAGCCGAGACGCCAGGTCAGGACCAATAATATTGCTAAATATTCTTTGGATTTTATCAAGAGTTTCTAGATATAAAGCAAGAACACCAGGTCATATGTGGTATGGACGAATGGTAAATTTATAGATATATAAGATAGATTCGGGAGAAAAAAATTGTTTAGCACCACACAGTGAACTAACTTTCTTGGCAGCGGACCTACCAATGGATTCAATATAGTCTTTCCACTTCATGTCAGCCAAAAATATCAGCCCAAGAAGGGGCAACTAGTCACTTTCCTAGAGGTTAGCATCAGCCATGTTGATGGAAAGCAGAAAGGGTCTCTCAGATGATTATATATATATATATATATATATATATATATATATATATATATATATAATAAAATGACAAAGTCTGACAATTATTTTAAGACATTTTATGTTTATACATTCTTTTATAGATACAAATATTTAAGTAAATGGTCTGTTTATAATGTTGCTTAATACTGTTTTTTTACAAACAGTAGCAAATTTTGTATCTATAAAAGAATTTAAACATAAAAATGTCTAAAATATATATATATATATATATATATATATATATATATATATATATATATTACAATGAATCATTCATACAAAAAGTAAATAAGTAAAAGTTAATGAGATAAAATGGCGAATTCACTACGCTAACAACATTTTAAAAAGTATTAACTCACTAACCACGATGCCAGATCAGGACCAGATCAGATATTGCTGATTCTTCTTTTGATTTTACAAGGATCTCTAGATATAAAGCAGGAGCACCGAACAATATGTGGCTGCAATATTCTAAGAATGGACGAATGGCAGACGTATCTTCGTTTTCAACGAAATGTCTTCTTAGCATTTTTTTTTACCCTTCGAAGTCATCCTTAGCCATTCGAATTGACCACTGGATCATCGTCACATTTTCCTTCATCTGTTACAGCACTACTCAGATAATTCTATCGTATATATGATTAGACATTTTTTTATCTCGACTAATGACTAACTGTAAGAACACAAAATAGATTCTCGTCTTCAAAATGGGGCATACCAAATTGTAAGCAACAAATGGAAAACATCAGATATTTGGACATACGGGTGGTGTCATCGATAATGGCTCGCAGATGGAAATCGGAGAGCCGAGTTCCAGCTTCATTCGGGTTGATTATATTAATCTAGGCGCAAAAAACATTGTGAAAGGCATGAACCCAACTTTTCTCCTCACCCCCAGCTATGGTTTCATTAGTAGGATATGTATCAGTAAAATAATTACTATCTTCAAAAAATTCTCACAATCTAAAAATATTTTCCGGTTGTATTTCAGTTGGGTTCATTGTATTGACTTAGGCGCAAATAACCTTGATAAATCTATGAATCCATCTCCCCTCCAACTATGGGTTAATTAGTAGAACATGTATCAGTAAATCACTATTACCAACCCCAACAAATTCTTACAATCTAAAAATATATCCCGGCTTTAAATAACCTGTAAAATGCTGATGAAATGAAATAAAATTCACCAGGTCAGCATAGCCATGTTTATATATATATATATATATATATATATATATATATAGAGAGAGAGAGAGAGAGAGAGAGACAGAGACAGAGAGAGAGAGACAGAGAGAGAAAGAGAGTACTGGGCGAAAAAGTGATTCAATTATTTTTAACTTTAATTGCAAATAAAAATGTTATTTTTTAATTAAAAATATACATATTACTAGTAAAATTAAAAAAATATTTCGAAACTATTATTTTTTTGAAAAAAGGACCATAAAAATGACCATTTTTTTAGTATTTAACAAGTTTTCTACTGTACAAAAAAGTGACTTATTAAAAATTTCATTTTTTTCAAAACACCTTTTAATTTTATTTCCTTAATTTTATTCCAGAATATTCTTAAAAATTCTAGAAAGTTCTAGAATTATTTTAAAGTATAAACAATAAACCAAAAATATAATTAATAAGTCATTTGTTATGAAAAGCTATAAGCACACATCGCAATCTGTTAAAGTAGCAATAGTTGCCATATCAAAAAAGGTTGTAAATCGACTCGAGAAATAGTGTCAACACTTGTCAATCAACTGTCTCGAAGGTTTTGAGAAGCTTCAATTCCTGTGAAACATTTGTCAAGATAGACAACAGGGACAGAAAACACAAGACAGATTAGAGAATCGGTCGCAAAATCATTAGAGAAATTAACCAAAACTTGTTAAAGTTCCAATGAAGAAATTGCTGCTACCTTGAAAAATCATCTCGAAGTGTCTACTGTACACAGATGGCTCTTGAGCGAAGGTTACAATGCCTATTCAAAGGTTTTTTTTAAGCCACTGCTTAATAAAACATAATGCTAAACGTTTAGTAATAGGCAAACGCTTACAAGTCCTTCACTGAGTCTGACTGGAAATTGTTCTTTTCTACGACGAGACAAAAATGTTTTCAAAGGGCAAAAGAACGAAAATCAGATTGGGGGGGGGAGCGAAGAAAACCCTTTGAAAATGACAGTTAATATTATGAAGCTTCCTGTCAGTTTTATGGTTTCGGGTTGTTTCTCATTCAATGGGACTGGATTTTTCAAACCAGTTGACAAAACTGTGTACAGCACCCAATACTCAAAAATATTGGGCACCTGCTTGCTGCCATCTGCCGAAAAACTCGAAAATGATCAATCAAATCTCATTTTTATGCAAGACAATGCTCCCAGCCACACATCAAAGCAGATGAAAAATTACTTTCCCCGAAAGAAATGTCAATGTTATGCGATGTCCACCTCAGTCCCCTGACCTAAAACCAATCGAGAATTTATGGAACTTAATAAAATTGAGACTTTTGAAGAAAATCACTCAAAATAAAGAACCTTTGATTGATAATTGTATTGTAAATTGGAACAGTTTGCTAGGAGATGATATCTGCAAAAATCTCCTTAAGAGTATGTCGAACCGAGTCAACAAAATTCTGAAAAACAAAGATGGAAGCATAAATTACAAATTAAATTTTTTGTGTTTTTATTTTACTAAATTTCATTTTTTAAGAAAATATTAGATTAATTTTGTATATAATTAATACAGTATAAAAAGTGAGTCACTTTTTTTGCACAGTAAATATTTACATTAAAAACAAAAAATAACATGCTTTATGTTTGTTTCTTAAGAACTTTTTTTTTGTAAAATTGCGGACAATGTATCATTTTCCTTATTTATACACATTTTTTTTTAAACTTTATTTTTTTTTTATCTAAAATATTAAGATTTTTTTACAAAAAGATTCAATGAGTTCCAAACCAGTCGGGTTTCAATCCTGGCTCGAGGCAATCGGATCTCTAGCCACACCGATGAGAAAAATATAGTTTTATTTATGGATAAAAGTGCTCAATACCAGGAATAAAAGGTATGCAAATATAATATAGGATAAATGGATAACGACTCGGAATTCGAACTCGGAGGGCCGTGTTCCAATTCCAATCGGGTTCGTTATACTCACTTACATGCAAATACCCCTGTGAAGGATATGAATTCCCTCATACTATGAGCTATGAGTTAATTAGTCCAGCTAAATATGAATTTCTGGGTATTATACACCTAATGTTTCAGCAACCATTTTGAGATCATAGATAAAGAACACCATTGGAAAATTCGTAAACTTAAGGAATCAGCACATATGCTATGCCACAAAAATCTCCAACCGACCAAGCACAGAAATGAATACAATATGGGAACCAGTATTAAGGAGTGCCAGAGAAAAAGCGATAATAACAAAAATTGCAATATGAGCTCTGGTAAAACATGAAATAATAACAGCAAAAAAGTTGTTGAAGACATTAGGTATATAATACCCAGAAATTTATACACAGATGTCCTCAAGGACACATGGCGTTGGACAAAGGCGTTGGTTAGATCCAGTGACAGGACCCAAAGAGTGTGAGTTCAATACCCGGTTAAGGCAGTGGAGAACTTTCAGAGGGAAAATTAACAGGAGATAACTGATAACTGACATCCATCAAACATGGCACGTGGAACTAGAACAGTCTACCACAGTGAGCGAAATAAAGGGTTCTGTTCGAAATTCCAACCACCTGAAGAAGGCCGCAGCGTACAACGGCCGAAACGTTGTGATAAATCTGGCGACAAAGATGAGGACAATAGTCCGAATAATGTAAATAGTGTAGATTAAATGATCATAATAAAAATATCAAATATTGCTAGAAAAATGATTATTTTTGATTTGCAAGTTAGAAAAGTTTCTTTTCGCAAGTTATTGATAGGGAATTTATTTCTACCAAATGATTTAATAAATTTAGCTTGGAAAGATAGTTTTGTTATTTGAGCAATCATGCCATGCATTAATTAAGCCATCTGTCGCTAAAAAAAACAAACGGATTTCTGTTTTCTGCTCACATTAATGTAAAAAAAAACAAAAAACGGCGTACATTTATGCAGTTTAGCATAAGAGAAAAAGGAATCGATGAAAAATATTGACGATATTCGGCGACATATTCTCTTTTTGGCACGAGGTTTTTATCATTTTACAACCAGATGCGTTGTCCGAAATTGTCAGATGAATCATGACGAAACAAATGAGTCAGTGTAAGTAGAGAAATTCCTCGATTAATGCGCATCCAATTAATACGTTTTCGATTAGTGCGCTAAAATTTTGATATGCTAAAATTCGATTAGTGCATATATAATACTCGATTAGTGCGGTAAAACATTCTTCAGTTTAACCATAGTGATTGAAAATAGATTTTTTTTATAGTTACCAATTAATTAAAAATTTTCTAAAATTTGAGAATGGAAAATGGGTAACAATCTTTGTCAAATTTTGTATTACCCATTATCTAAGTATATTAGTGTTTTAAAAATAAAAAAGGGACGGTTATAAATAGATACATTTTAAAATATAAGCCGATAATAAAAATACATATTTGAATATTTGTCTCTATTAAATTTTTTTGAATATTTTGATTTTTTTTCGGATTTTTTTTGAAGTTCTTAAAAGGAAATTTCTTACTTTTTGTTAAAAAAAAATAGATGATTGAATTCGATTTAGAAATTTAAATTTATTAAACAATATCGAAATATCAAAGATATATGCATTTACTATGGATTATGAATACAATTTTCATGGTTATTATATATTTGGAAAATTTGAAGAGACAACGCTCTTTCGCTTCTATATTGTTCCCTCTCTTTCTTACTTTCTCAATCTTTCTTTCTCGTTGTTGTTCTCTTTGCCTCTCTCTTTCCCACTCTTTCTGTTCCTCTCTGTTATTCTTTGTCTTTCTCACTCTTTCTCTTCATCTTCCTCTCTGTTCTCTCTGTCTCTTTCTCTCTCTGTTATTATCTGTTATTCTCTCTCTTCCTTTTCCTTTTCCTCTCTGTTCTTCTTTCTCTCTCTTTCTCTTCTTCACGGTACTTTTCACTCTTATTTTCTCTCTTTTTCTTTTCCTCTTTGTTGTTCTCTCATTCTCTCATCCTATCTGTTCTTCTTTCTCTCTCTCTCTCTTTCTCTCTCCCAGTTTCTCTCTCTCTCTCTCTCTCTCTCTCCGTGTTTGCGTGTGTGTGCCGTGTTCTTTCCACATGGGAGATCAAGGTTCTATGATTAGACTATTTGTCCGAACACTCTTGGACTGAATTTAATTTCTAAATAGTTGGGCATATTTTGGCATGTACCCATGAAATGTGTAACCAGAGGAGTCTCAACTTGGCACATTTTTTGAGAAAACCAGTTACAAATAAATGGCAGCCTGCTTACAAGAAAATACCGAAAAGATCTCATTCCGACCAAGATGCTTCTTTAAAAAAAAAAAAAGATCTTATTTCTGTCTGAAATTACCAACCCATTGATTTGCTTTTTACAGCTTACCAACCTGCTGATTTGTTTGTTACGGTTTATCAACCTATTTAGGAGGCACGATGCTCTAGTGGATAGCAGCTCGGATTGAGGAATAGGAGAGCCGAGTTCGAATTCCAGTCGAATACATTACAATCACTTATGTGCTAATACCCTTTGAAAAAGTATGAAATCATCTTTTCTCTCCCCACCACATCAGCCATTGTTAAATGGCAAGGCAGACTGGGTTCTATAACATTGGTTAGCAATTACTCTGAGAGAAGGAAAATTCTGAATTTAAATCAGCCTGAAGAGGAAACACCACTGCTAATCACCCAGACATCGTGATCAAAACCACAAAAACAGAATGTGCTTTCATATTGACATAGCGGTCCCTGTAGACTGTAATGAGTCTTTGAATATCTTCAAAACTATCAAACTATAAGCATCTCAAAGTGGAAATCTAAAAAAATGTAGCAGGCGAAGACATCAGTAATTCCAGTTGTAGTTGGAGTCCTCGGGAAATTTTCCGATAGACTCATTGGATTCCTGGCAGCTTATGCCTTAAAGAAATATAAAATCTTTATTCACAAATACAGTTCACACATTACGAAGAGCCTAATCTATGTAAAATGTGTGTGGTCTTAGTTCATTTTATAGAATTTCTTTTACAAGAATGATCAGTAGAAAATGACATGAAGTCATTTCTAGCATCAGGTCTTTGGTTGGGATCCGGAAAGAGATATGTATACAACAGAAATCCAAGGAAATAATTAAAAAAAAAACTAATAAAAACCAGAGCGCGATTTAAGAAAATAAAAAGAAATGAAGTTTCGGTGTTTAACGAAGTTTAACAATATTTCAACAGTATGTCTGTCTTTTTCAAATTAGGTTTAAAAATTGTATAGAAGGATAAAAATATCAAAATAATTAACAAGAATACAAGCCGTTGGTTGTCGTAAGAAAAACCATTGTACTGGTAATGAACGCAACAATGAAACACGACGACAGTAAATGGAATGCAACGTAAATGTAAGTAACATGATAGGGTGTTGGACATGTTGAAATTTTCCATTAGTGTTGAAACTTGACTAATGCATGGAATAATAATACAACACAAAATGTACTTAGAACAAAATGTATTGAAACAAGAAAGGTACACAATATTTACATATAGTCTTTTGTATATTCTTGGGAAGACCGTTCCTGGAGAATGTGTTGACTTAGTCGCAGTCGGGCAGAGTCTCTGGATTTTAGATTGTAATAATATTTTTTCTTTTAGCGAGTGAATATCGATTTTTTCCAGATAGAGGTCCTACTATTCAACCCATAGTTGGGGGGAGGTGACGAAGAATGTCTGCGAATTATCTTTATTAAAATTATTTACATTTGGACGAATGTTTACATCCTCGTTGTTACAATACCGCTTTGGCCGTTGTCTCCTCCGACATAACTTACATTGTTATCATTATCCATCCTTTTTATTCTTAACTAGCAGTAGCACCCGGCGTTGCCCGCAGATGTAACAGTAAGAGATAGATCAAGTATCGACCATCATAAAGATTGAAAAATAAAATTGACAAAGATTATTGTTTAAGGTTGACGGACACGCATGTCTTAATAATTTTTTTTTGTTTTTTTACGAATTGGTCAAACCCAAACTCAAACAAAAACATTGTTTTCAATCGTTATGAGTCTACCGATTGAATAGAATTTTATTATAAACAATTGTCTTGTAAATGGAATTTTTAAAGCATTCTGAATGTAAAAATAAAGAAAAAAGTGTACAAGACAATAAGAAACACTACCTGCCAAAAAAAGTGAAGTTTTGTTGAAATAGTTTGAAAAATGTAGGAAATCCGATCCCATATATAAACGAACACAGACACAGACACACACACACACACACACACACAAACAACCTGGGTTTTATAATAAGTATAACTCGATATGAGTTGTCCCCTTTCATTCTCGCGACAGCGATGCCTCTTAATCATGTTTTCAAATTGATTGTATTTTTCCAATTTTGGGCGCTGTCAGAACCACCACAAGGTAAATTTAAGTAGTCCTGTGAAGTTTTGTTGAAATCAGTTGAAAAATGTAGGAAATCCGATCCAATATATAAACGAACACACACACACACACACACACACACACAACCTGGGTTTTATAAGTATGATTACCTACTACCTCTTCTTACATTAATATCACAAAGCTCATTCAATAACGCTCTATCTGAAGTGGCTCTCTAGAATTGGTGGCTAATATTTCTCTCAAATTAATTATGAATACTGCACAAATGATTTAAAATGTTTACAGTAGATAGTTTAAAATATTTGGGTTTTAAATAGTGTTTTTTTTAATATTTAGACATTTCAATAACTTAGTTATCTCCCTTGATGTTTGCACGATGATAAAATCTAAAATCGTACAGTACTTAGCGCTTTTCACTTTACAAGTAAAAATTTAATTTTCAGACGAACACAACAATTTTGTTTTAGAAAAAAACAACAACACACAGATGACGACATTGTGCTAATGTCGAAAGTACTCGGAATAAAATGAATATGCACCAACATTTTAATTTTTTTTCTTCTTTTAATAAGGATACTAAGAAACTTGTCGGTAGTTATAAGAGAATCTTATTAAAAATAAGTAAACAAAACTTGTGTAAATTAGTTAATGTGACACGTCTTTATATGCTAGGATGCAGAACATTTGGACTTATATATATATATATATATATATATATATATATATATATATATATATATATATATATATATTATGAAATGGACAAAGTCCGACAATTATTTTTAAGTCATATTTTATGTTTATACGTTCTTTTCATAGATACAAATATTTAAGTAAATGGTCTGTTTATAATAAACAGTATTAACAACATTTACCGGCCTGAATGTCCGAGAAATTGTCATAGAAAATATGCGTCCTCCGACAGCCGAGTTCGAATTCCAGTCGAATCCATTACATTCACTTACGTGCTAATACCCTTGGGAAAGGTGTGAATTCTCTTCTTCTCCCTCCAGCTATGGGTAAATAGCAGGACAGACTGGGTTCTATAACCTTGGATGGCAACTGGTCTAGGAGAAGGACAACTCTGAATTCAAAACCAGCGGAGGGTCGTTTGGGGATCTTGTGGCACTTAGTGGACCAGGTCTCTGTATTCGGCCCTTCAAAAAGTGTGACTGGCCCTGCACGAAATCTTCACCACTATAATCAAATCTCATATGCCGTTGTCGGGCTGTCGGGCTGTCGGGCTGTCGGTTTCCTGGGAACTGATTTATTTGACCCTCATACGTCGAACTCGACGGGAGAGTCGACTATATATATATATATATATATATATATATATATATATATATATGTGTGTGTGTGTGTGTGTGTGTGTGAATGACAAAAGGAAAACTTAGTCGACGCGTTTGTAAAGATTTTATTTCGAAATAAGTATTTATATACAAAAGTAAAAATGTCGTTAGTTTTTCAAGATTTTTAAACTTTAGAACCTTCATCATTTTAACTGGAAGTCAAGGAAAATTATGGAGGGTCTAAAGTGATGTAATTTAATGTCTAATGAAAAATGTCAGTGGAATTTTTTAATAATGCAATGTTTTTATCAAGCCAACATACACAACTAAAATGTCAAAAAATGAAAAAAAAGCTGTTAAATTTTTAACCTTATATTATTTAAAATATATAATGCATAGATTAAGTCCAAACTAAAACAATGGAAATATTAATTTCATTGTAAAAAAAATAAATCAACAACATCAATAACTTGTTTATTAAATACCGACTTTGAACTTCAACTGCGTTTTCATATTTCCGTAACTTTTCAGAATGAACTTTTTTTGTTCAAAGCTAAGCCTGGATGACATTATTTGTACTAATGTGTAAATCTAAATGACTTGAGCTGTATATTGTAAAAGAGACACACTGTATGTAGCTAGGAAACGCCACGAGTGACTATTCAGCCAACCCAGGCTTGCAAGTATCTACAATCTTATGGAAACAATTTTATGCTTGATTTGAAATGATAATTCCTTCTAAACTAGACATGATTTCCCCACAACAAACTTGGATTTCATTTATATTCGTTATTTTTATTTTTTTATTTTTGAGGGGATTCGTTTTTAAAGTTAATGCCTAACAAAACACGTAGTCCACTAAATCACGTGAGATTAACGCGTTTAAATATTAAAACCTTTAAAAGCGAGCAAGCGATTTTGTAAACAATGTGCTCACTGAAGGAAAAGAAACTTAACCATCAAGTGCAAGAAGGCACAAATATATGGTTTCTGTAAGAAGCAAAAATCTAAGATACTTTTGTCTTGTTTTAGGATTCTAAAAGTATTTTAATTATTTTTATGATTCCTTTTCTTTAATGTCAGTTTTCTTGTGAAAAAATAAAAACTTGGGGATTTTTTACGTGGCTTTTTCAAGGTTCGAATTCAGTGTTGCCCTTCTTCGAAACTTTGTACTACATAAGAGTTAGTATTGTCTACGCTCTTGTTTAATCCATATCTGTGAGAAGACATAGAATCATGCCCTTTCCCGAGGGCAACTGTTCGAAAGCGAACACAAAAGTTTGGGATGGGATTTGAACTTAGCATAGCGATTTCTGTTACGCTACCCGTATCTCTTGTTCATCGTTACAGCAATTTTAATATTAGTTTTGCCTTTTTTTTTTAGCTGTTTATCCCTAGCCGATCAATTATTCCGTTGTTAACGCTTAAGTTCATTTGAAGTTT